ACAGGCCCCCAAAAGAGAATGGTTTTTTAAAAAATCGTCACCTATAGCCCTTGTGTCTTTACTGGTAGCGCAACCAGTTCACCAGCACCGAACAGCCCTAAATCTAGCAGAAAAATATAGGCCAGAGTTCTACTGTGGAAAAAGGAAACACAGTCCATGGTGCTTTTAGCATAGTCAAAAGACCTGGATTCTAGTCCCAGTTTTCCCTGACTCACTGTAAGTCCTTGCGTGGGTCACTTTAATTTTTCCCAAATATAAAATGACAATATCAATAATAACCTACTTTACAGGGAAGGTGTGAGGATTAGAGACGTCTCCAGGCCAAATTCCTAGATTTGAGCTACAACTTTTGGCAAACTTTAGATCTCAGACCAAATTTCATGTCTGACTTCTCTCATAATCAACTAACCCCCAAATCCAAAAATGGGGGCAGGGAAGCTAGTGGAAGAAGGATTCAGATTCAGGGCCAGAGTTTGTGCCTTGAGTGCATCTCTATTGACAATTCATTAATGCTTGTAAAATGCTTTCAGGGCTTTTAATGGGAGGCACTACAGAAATGCAAACCTTTATTATGTTACCATTATATTTCTAACTATGTCTATTTGACCTGTTAAACTGTATTTAATCCACATTAGCAGAAAGGTTAAAACAGTCCCCTTAACATGGGTAGCACTCCAGTGGGGATGGAGCCTTAGTTGCACAGATATGCTGGATATTTTCTGGGCAGACTAAGATCCAGCATTCACAGGTGTGAGTTTAGAACAGGGGTGGGCAAACTTTTTGGCCTGAGGGCTACACCTGGGTATGGAAATTGTATGGTGGGCCATGGATGCTCACAAAATTGGGGTTAGGGTGCAGGAGGGGGTGAGGGCTCTGGCTGGGGGTGCGGGCCAGAAATGAGGAGTTCAGGGTGCAGGAGGGGACTGGGGCAGTGAGGGTAGAGTGCGGGGAGGGAGGTGAGGTCTCCAGCTGGGGGCGTGGGCTCTGGGATGGGGATGGGAGTGTAGGAGGGTGCTCTGGGCTGGGACTGAGGCGTTTTGAGGGCAGGCGGTGGATCAGGGCTGGGGCAGGGGGTTGGGGCATGGGGGAGGGTCGGGGCTCTGTCTGCGAGTGCAGGCTCTGGGGTGGAGCTGGGGATGAGTGGTTTGGGGTGCGGGAGGGTGCTCCAGGCTGGGATCGAGGGGTTCAGAGGACAGGAGGGAGATCAGGGCTGGGGCATGGGTTGGGGTGCCAGGGAGTGGCTCGGGGGTGCAGGCCCTGAGTGGCACTTACCTCAAGCAGCTCCCGCAAGCAGTGGCATGTCACTCCTACGCGGAGGCACGGCCAGGCGGCTCTGCTGCACGCTGCCCCATCTGCAGGCACCGCCCCTGCAGCTCCCATTGGTCATGGTTCCCGACCAATGGGAGCTGCGGGGGCGGCGCTTGGGGTGGCGGCAGCATGCAGAGTGGAGCCTCCTCGTTGCCCCTACGCGTAGGAGCCGAAGGGGGGACACACCACTGCTTCCGGGAGCCACGCAGAGGGGCCCCTGACCCTGCTCCCTGGCTGGAGCACAAGGGACCGATTAAACCAGCTGGTGGGCCAGATGCAACCAGCGGGCCGTAGTTTGCCCACCCCTGGTTTAGAGTGTATCTAAAGTTGAAATCAGTGGAAGCTAGGGGCCTAAATAACTTTTGAGGATCTGGGCTTTAGTCTCTCTGTCCTGAGTTCCCCACCTTTAAAATGGGGATAGTAGCATTTCCCTGTCTCACAGGGGTGATGTGAGGATTGAATATGTTAAAGATGTTGAGGTTCTCAGATCCCACGATGATGGGAGCAACAGATAGATAGAGGATGCATTTACAGCAGCTCTTTGCAGTTCTTTCAGTGCAGGTGTCCATATCTATGAACCATGTAATATTCAACCTTAATTTATGAAGGACATTTATTTCTACATTAAGAATCTCTGCTTTAAAGGGACCCTGAAAAGTCAGAGCACAATACTGCCATCAGATGGGGGGGGGAAACAGAACTGTGCACTTAACACCAAGGTTGTTGTTTTTTAAGTCATAGAGATGTAGGACTGGAAGGGACCTTGAAAGGTCATTAAGTCCAGCCCCCTGTCTTCACAGCAGGACAGATTTTCCCCCCAGATCCCTAAGTGACCCCCTCACGGATTGAACTCTCAACCCTGGGTTTAGCAGGCCAATGCTCAAACCACGGAGCTATCCCTCCCCCCCAGTGTTACAAAAAGAACTATACACAGAAACGTTCTCCTGAATCTATGTACATTTGACAAAACTAAAAAGCCAAACCTTGTGCTGGGAACCAAAACACAACAGCCTTGTGCTAGTGCATGAGAACCAGAGAATGGCACCGAGAGGAAATAAAAGTGACCGAAACTTTGTGCCGTGAAAAAAAGAAAGCTCAAAATTGTTTGTGTTTTAATCATTTTGGCCCTGATTCTGCAAGATTTATCCCCGTGATTCCCTGGGCTTCGCCTCATTCCAGTCAATGGGATTATTCATCATGTGCAAAGTTACGCACCTGCACGTGTCTTTGTAAAATTGGGCATTACGTTTTTAGCAAGACAAGTATGCATTTTTAAAAAAACCAAGGGTTGAGATTCAGTCCTGCCCGATGAAGGGCCAACAAACTGCATGCCCTGTCTCTGTTACGCCGGGGGAAAGGGGACTCATGTCCAGGGACAGTCGTTTTGCAATTCCAACTGTAATTCCAGAGGAGCCTCTCTCCCCCAGCAGAAGCTGGACTAAGGAAAGTGGTGAATCAGTACATCTCCTGGCCAGCCTGACCCCACGCTTTGTGGGGCTGACTCCACCCACTTTGCGGGTAGCACCAACCAGCGCTGGTCTCTCTGATACAGACGGGAGCCATGGACAGCTTGCACTACCGTGCCTCTAATTCTAGCAGGCTTTCTGCTATGAGGGGCCCACACCCTGGCTGCCCCCAAGCAGTGATTCTGGCCGAAGAGCTTCATGATGAGAGTGACTCTAAAATAAATGTAAATGGAAGAAAGCTCCTGTGTTACATGAAAGACACATGACAAGAAAAAATGTGGATGAAAGCTAAGCTGTGATCGGAGGAAACTTTCCCTAAATTAGATTTAAATATATAATTACACTAAGCAGAAATTTCACCTTCACACTTCCACTGAAGATAAGCCAAATTCTCTTAAGCAGGGTAATGATCTAAGTGCCGCTCATTTTCCAAATTACAGGAAAAGCTTGCCTTCTTAATGAGCCAGCGTTTGATCTCAAGGAAAAAGGCACATTAGAAATAATACCGCATCTAAGATTACATTGTATTTAACTTCAGATGAGAGCAAGCCCAAGTGAAGGCAGAGCACAATACAGCCTGTTATATACAGTCAACCCCTATCTAGAGCTACACCGTTCGGGTCTTTCAAGGGAAAACCTGCTGAGAGACAAATGGGAAAATGAACCTCTGAGAGAAATACAAAGGGGCAGATTCTGCCCTCACTTACACTGGGGCAGCCCCACTGAGGGTCTTAAAAGACATCACAGCAGCCCACAGAAGAAGCAGGTGAGAGACCTACCTGTGATAAAGGAATACGCTGCTAGGATGTTGCTGAGCAAAGCCATCTCTGTGCTAACGCCCACGGGCTCCATGCTGCTGTTATCCACTGGCCGCTGTGTCTCATCCACGGGAAGCAGCAAGGGGGTGTTGTCTAGCGGGTAAAAGGCAGCCGACCTCCCTTTCTTCTTCTCTGTTTTGAGTGAGGGAACAGGCACGTCAGTTTCAGCGCTGCCCTGCCCTGCCCTAAAGTAATTGAACCTGCCTCTGCATTCAGAAATCTGGAGTCAGTCACTGGAAATGCCCCCCAAATCTGCCACAGTTAGGCAGCTGGACCTTCGTGGTTATAAGCACACGGTGGATTCAAGGCAGCATCTCCTCTCCCCATTAGCCTTCTCTTTCACATCCCCCGTTAGACACACCCGGATGCTTTACAGCAAATATATAATCAGGTTGCTGATCTTTTTTGTAAATCAAAGAGCCTTTATCAATGCTGGGTTCCACTAAACGTGTAATAACTCAGCACATGGGCTTGGAAGACACAGACAGGGTCTTGCATCTCTCTGTAATTCTAGAGTGATCTACACCTGGCAAGCAGTACTGCTTTCCCTCCAGCCTTATTAAGGGAAGGGCGGCTCTTTGCCTGTGTTTATGACTTCCTTCAGAAGCATGCTCTCATTGTGTTTCGCTGAGACATAATTTCCCCTTCAGAGAGGTGAGGGAACATGGGTTAATGATTTGATTTTATTTGTTGAAGACTGGAGCTGAGACGGCAGCTAATTCCAGGAGGCTGAAAGAGACCCTTTCAGACCTTATCAGATCCCTGCTAAGAACTGGCTGTACCTTGATCTGTCTGCAGACACCACAACCAATGGCAAAATACTAATTGTTTCAAACACATTAAAAAGTCAGCCCATAGAGAGAGCTCCATCATCCACCTGTGAGTGTGCAAAATCCTAGGGCTGTTAAGACTCCTGTCCCTGTGTATCTGGTACAGGCTGCAAACAAACAGTGCACAGTAGCTGGCAATTGCATCTGGCTTCCACTTATCTGCTAGTATTAAGTTCAGGAAACTGACAATTCTGGTGCATGAAATACCATTACCGCTGCGGGAGCAAAGTCACTTTCAACTCCAGCCTGCAGCGCATGAAAGTCCACGTTTGTTCACTGTCTCTCTGTGTTTGCATTTGCACAGCTCACACCCAAGGTGAACGGTTACATTGTTCATTTCACACTGTACGCGCCTGGAAGCTGTGTGGCCCCCGAGGTCAGCGACAAAGCTTTGGGAGTGAGGGGGAAATAAGTTAATTCAAAATGTCGGCAGGGGCGATGGCTCAGGTGGATAAATGCCTGTGCGGTGCTGCATCCTATTAGTGTGGCTTCAGAGATTCATCGAGTCCAAGGCCAGAAGGGACCATTGTGCTCATCTAGTCTGACATCCTGTATAACACAGGCCACAGAACTGCCCCAGAATAACGCCTAGAGCAGCTCTTTTAGAAAAAACACCCCATCTTGATTTTAAAATGGTCAGTGATGAAGAATCCACCACGACCCTTGGCAAATTGTTCCAATGGTTAATTACTCTCACTGTTAAAAATGTACACCTTATTTCCTGTCTGAATTTGTCTAGCTTCAATTTCCAGCCATTGGATGGTGTTAGACCTTGATCTGGTAGATTGAAGAGCCCACTATTCAATCCCCATGTAGCTACTTACAGATTGTAATCAAGTCCACCCCCTTAATCATCTTCTCTTTGTCGTGCTAAATAGATTGAGCTCCTTGACTCTCTCCTTATAAGGCAGGTTTGCTAATCCTTTAATCATTCTCCTGGCTCTTCTCTGAACCTTCTCCAATTTATCAACACCCTTATAAATAAGGAGACATACCTATCTCATAGAGCTGGAAGGGACCCTGAAAGGTCATTGAGTCCAGCCCCCTCCCTTCACTAGGAGGACCAAGTACTGATTTTGCCACAGATCCCTAAGTGGTCCCCTCAAGGATTGAACTCACAACGCTGGGTTTAGGAGGCCAATGCTCAAACCACTGAGCTATCCCTCCCCCCTGCTTGAATTGTGGGCACCAGATCTGGACACGGTATTCCAGCAGCGGTCACACCAGTGCCAAATTCAGCGGTGAAATAACCTCACTGCTTAGAGCTGGATGCTGTGGTGATGTCTAGCTGTTAGCATGGGGGGCCGGCTGGGGGAAACTTGGGTTCTGTTTCCAACTCTGCCACTGAATGACTGTGACCTTGGGCAAGTCGTTTAAGCAAAATTTTTCAAACATGAATGCCTGAAGAGAGGCACCAAAGGGGAAATTTTCAAAACCACCTCAGATTTAGGAGCACTAGCCCCACTGAAATTCAGTTTTACAGATGAACAAACTAAGACACAGAGGGGTAAAGGCCGACATTTTCAATAGGAAAGTCAATGGCACGAAGGGCGCTTTTGAAAATCTCCCCCTAAATCCATAGTTCAGCACCTTAATAAATGCCTTGATCTTCCCCACTAAACTCCTAATGTGAACCCAAAGGAAGTGATGGGTGCTCAGCACCTCCAAAATCCAGGCCATTTATCTAGGTGCCTAACTTTGGGCCCCCAAGTTTGGATGTAGTGTTCTTTAATCATTCCGTGCCTCAGTTTCCCTAGCTGCAATGACACCTATCTCGATGAGATATTGTGATAACATTCATAAGGCACTTTGACAATCACAGATAACAAGCTCTACTGGAATGTAATTATTATTATTGTCACGTCAGTTGTCCTCAGCCCAAGGTCTGAGCAGTTGTGAAGGGTATTTGGGCCCTAACCCAGTAACTCTTGTAATGTTGAGCCTTCAAAATGCCATTCCCAGCCCCAAATTACTGATATGGCAGGAAAAGTAGTAACTGGAAGTGCCACGTATTTGGGAAATTAAAGGGGAGCTGAATAAGTCGGAGAAGGAAATGTAAAAGGAGCCCAGGTTGTGGCTCTGGTATTTTACAGTGTTTTGCAGGCCAGTTGCCTCATGCTTTAAAGGGGGTGTTTCTAAAGGAATTGTGACTTGCCAAACTAGCTATCCTCAGGGAACTGAATGGAGGAGATATGGGAAAATTTGACTCTCCCTAAATAACTTTAATTATTTATTAATATTATTTCTATTACAGTAGCATCTAGGAACCCCAGTCAAGGATTAGGGCCCCACTGTTCTGGGTGCTGTGCAAACAACGAACAAAGAAAGCAATCCTTGCCCCAGAGCCTTTACAATTCAGGTGTCAAAAGATAGAGAAAACTGACCAATGGGGTGGCAGCTGGTGGGAGGATGAGGTAATAAAATGAAGAGTTTAGCAGAAAAACGGAAGTCTCAGCTCACCATTTGCCTCGCCAATGCCAGAGGGCAGCGAGCTGCAGGAATCAGAGCAGAGGTAGGTTTTATGGAGGGATTTAAAAGACAAAGAGGATTCTCACAAAGAAACAGGGAACGAGGCTTTGATGGCTTACTCCCTTGCGTACTTTGTTCTGTCAGGTTTTCTTTTAAAACACAGCGGCAGCATGTGCCAGTCTAGAGCAGAGGCTCTCACACTGTGATCAGAGCACCACTGGCAGGTGTACGGCAAAGGCAAAACACTGTTGGTGTTACTGAGTCTTAACACTGCGATGCATGGATGTGCCCCCTGCTCAGTGTGTGTTCTGCCTTCCCCCACCCGGGTCCAACCCACAGAGCACATGACTCTGATACTGTTCCCAGCTAGGGAATTCTGTTCAACTGTAGAGGGTCATACACTAGCTCTCGAGGGTCAGTCTCCAATGATGACCAAGATGAGGGTCAACATGTGGATGGACCCTATGCTTATGAATAAGCCCGCCAGTAATCTGGTTAGAGTGTTACAAGTTAAGTGGTGACAGGGCTTTACTGCTGATTAATAGCCATCTCTGCCCCTATGTAAACTCTGCAGCAATTGTGCATAATGTAAATGGAGAAGAAGAGATAATTGATTAATCCTGCGTATATGGTCCACTCATTTCCAAAAGGGAAACATCCCACTCCCTGCACCCAGAGCGTCCCAAAAGCTCAGAGGCCATAACAGTGTCAGCGTACATGGTGGAAGGTTAATGGGGAGGCCTGCCACCTTTTAGTCTTTGTCCTCTTGGGCAAAGTAACTGCATCGCCACATGGTAGTGTTTCCCTGTGGCCACATGGCATCATCATTCCATGATGCAACGTCATGATATGAAGTCACGATATCCCAGGCAATAATTGAGAAATCTTTAACGTCAAAATTGGGGCTGTCTCATGGAAAACAGAAGACGTGTCAATTAAGCTTCCTTAGGGAACAGATGAGTGAGTGCAGGCCAGCAGTACCGACTCAAGACCCACCTTCTGATATTGACGTGCCATTTATATGCGGGGCAGCATTGCGAGTTTACCATGGCTTCTCTCCAACTCTGGTGACCTCAACAAGCCCCCATTCCCTTCTCTCCTGCTTTTCCTTCCTGCTACAGGCCCTCCCACATCACAGATTCCCCAGTGTTTTCAGAAAGCTCCATAATGGGGACAAGCATCTCTGGATCTCAGCAGGACAAAGATTTCAAATCACATCCCCTCTTGAGGCTTCCCCCTAGGATGTGCTGTGTACTAAATCAACAAGGCAAGGCCCAGGGAGGAGACAGACAGAGACCTGCTGGGCTCTAGCTGTCCTGTGGAACACTGCACAATAGGCGTGTTTTCTAGGAGGCAAAGTGAAGAATAACTTCTCTACTTTGAACTGTAAAAGGAGTTTTGCTCTTTGTTTTTTCCGGTGGAGCCTTAGTGCAGTCAAACAAGTTCCTAAATGAATGGTTGTCTGAGCACTCTACACTCCAGCAACAAGCACCATAAAGCCACAGAACTGGTTTTCTAATCTGTAGGATCGTACAATCAGCCAGTAAGGGTGGAAAAAAAACTACAGGGGTTATGCAGGAGGAAAAGAGATCTATTCTATTGCAACTAAAGCATATCATGGAAGGGCCATCCACCACTATACACTGTCGTCATCCATGTGCACTGGCTCGCCATTCATTCCAGGATCTGGTTAAAAGTCACCCACGTTCCCCCATGCCTACCTCAGGGATGTTGTCTTCCCCTATGCCTTGCCTGTCGCTGGCCTTCTCTATGTCACCACTGATGGTGTAAGAGCCTTCTCCTTTGCAGCTCCCAGTCTTTGGAACAACCTCCCCTTATCTTTGCAACGTGTGCATCCCATTTCAAACCTGTTGCCTCTGCCTTTCTCGGGCCTTTTTTTCTTGTTTGCAATTATATCAGTTAAGGCTGCAAAGCATTTTGGGATAGAGTTTTTATGAAAGATGTTCTACAGAATAAAAGCATAACCTTAATCTCATTGAAGCCAGTGTGAGCTTTGTCGTTGACTTTAGTGAAGGAGGATCATGCTCTAAAGCTGTATGGTAATCATTGTACTGTGCTGACAGACACTTACTGTACTTCACTGCTGGAATGGTACAGGGAACTCATAAGCCACAAAGTCATGAAGTAGTTGTGCAATGACAAAACTGTATTTTTCCCACTGCTTCGAAATGGGTGGGGCCTATGAACTGCACAAATGCCTGAGTACAGATTCTGGTATTTAGTGTCCATTAATGGGAACTCATAATTGTAATCACCACTGTTAGGTTTCTGTAAATATTGTTACAGCCTTAGCTACCTGGCAGAACGCGCTCTAGAATGGACGGTGAGACCTCAGGAAAGAACACGCCGTCCCCTATAACATTAGGATCATACGCTCTTGGCTGCTGTGGAAAATGTGGTTGCTGAATTCCTTGGTAGTTGGTTGGTTTTGGCTGGGTTTCATGCAGAAGCTTCTTGGGAACTGCAAGAAAAGCACAACGAGAACAACACAATGGTTAGAATGGGTTATCTCAGCTGGTAATAAACTGAATTATTGCATTATGCTACAGGCTCAGCTCATATTTAATTATACTGTAAGCGGACCAAAGACATGCTCATTTACCACCATCAGGAGTGTGCTATGAATGCCTAGACAGCCAGATTCCATATCGGAATGCCAGGCACTGTGAACTTAATAAGACATCATTTTATTTATAATGAATATTGTTAATTCTTTAGATTGCTCTAAATATTTAGATAAGGTGGGAGAAAAAAGATCTAGGAGGTGACACAAGTCTCTTCAAGACACTGATTTAACATCCAAAAATGAAAAGCAATCAATGGGTTTATTTGAATGTTACACCTCCTGCAGTGCTATAGCACTGTTCTTCTCAAAGTGCTTTACTAACATGAAGCCCTTGTGAGATATTCCTTCTTCTAATCCTTTATCTTAGCATATTATCTTTTCTTTCAAAGGCTATTGAAGAGAAATTAAGGCAAATAATGAACCATTCCTTTGTATAATTACAAACCAGCGTAATAGTGCCTAACACTACATTTCTTGCTTTGGACCATCAAAGTCTTAGTAAGAGCAGGGTATTTTTCTCCCCTCAGTTCCAAGGCCAAGTCCTCAGCTGTAGATCAGCAGAGTCAGTGGAGCTATCCAGATTTACACTAGCTGAGGATCTGGTCACACAGTAAATTAGCATTTGCCAGAGTCAGAACATCAGTTCATTTAGTCTGGTGGTGTCTCCAGCAGTGGCCAATACTCGATGTAACTCCAGAACGTAAGTGTCTTCCATACATGTTAGGGTTAAGAAAACAAAAGTAAAGTCTCCATGAGAAAGTATATGTGTGTTCCTTCCATGACACCCTACACTAAAATCAACACAAAATGGCGGTTTCATTTCTGCAGACAGTAGATTCCTTAGAGATTTAAAGCTGCAGGACACTGAAAATTAAGGCATAACTTTATTATATAGCTAAAAACACCCCAACGACAAGCGTGAAAAAGGACCCGGCCAAGTGTGCAACGCTGCACGTGGAGGGAAAGTCCTTCCTGATCTCTAAGTAATTCGCGGACACCTTGAAGCATGAGATCTGATTACCCTTAGCATTATTTAGCCTGCACAGCTACCAAAGCGAAGGATCAGGAAGTAATCCAGTCACCTTGCTTTACACTGTATTAGACTTGCTGTCTTTGCTGAGGCTGAGAACTGTAACTGCATTTACTAGCCACCCTTTCATGTCTGACAGCCAAGGCATCAGCACTTATACTTCTAGCATTATTAGTAGAGTCTCATCAGGTCAGGAAACAGACATTTTAAAAAACCCAAAGCCCTAACTTGTGACTATCAACAAGCTGGCACAGCAGTTTCTGGAGAGAACTGGAGTGGCAAGACTCCTCTTCAGCATAGGCCGTAGAGGAAACATATTCTCTGGAGGGTAACTGAACAGAAGCCAGGGGAATGCCAAAGACGGGAACAGGCAGAAAGTCCAGGAAGCATGTAGGGTGGATTAAAAATAGCGTCTTGCAGCCAAGAGTGTCAAAAGTAACTAACAATTTGGAGTGTCAAGTTTGAGATGCCCTAAATGGGCCTGATTTTCAGAGGACAGGGGCTCAGCACCCTCTGAATATCAGACCCCTTAACACAGCGGTTCTTAAACTGTGGGTCAGGACCCCAAAGTGAGTCGTGACTCTGTTTTAGTGGGGTCGCCTGGACTGGCATCAGATTTGTTGGGGCCTGGGGCTAAAGCCAAAAGTCCGAGCTCCACCGCCCAGGGATGAAGCCGAAGCCTGAGGGCTTCAGCCCTGAAGGTTACAGCCCCCACCCATCCAGGGCTGAAGCTCTCAAGCGTCGGCTTTGCCCCCCCCCCGGGGGGGCTCAGGTTTTGGCTTTGGCCCCCATCCCAGGGGCAGAGCGACTCAGGCTTCGGTCCCCCTTCCCGGGGTCTTGTAGTAATTCTTGTTGTCAGAAGGAGGTCATGGTGCAATGAAGTTTAAGAAACCTGCCTTAACAAATCTATGTTGGGTACCCAAAAATAGAGGCATCCAAAATCACTACTCCCTTTGGAAAATCTTGGCCTGTCTTATATAGCCGCGGTGGCCGAACCTCGGATCGGGAGCCACCATGCGGCTCTTTTACAGCTGAAGTGTGCCTCACAGAGCCCTCCAACCCCTCCCCTTCTCCACCTATGAGACTGGAGGGGGGAGCTAGGAGTTTCTGCCCCGTGGCTGTGGGGAGGGGCGGGGGGGGCTAGATGCTTCTGCCAGAGATGAATGGTGCCTGCTGAGAGTGGGGGGGGCACAATTTAAAATTTCAGCCCCCCCCCAACAGATTGAGTCACGCCCCCTCAGGCATGCCCCCCTTTACCCTCAGTGGCCCCTCCCTGCAGCTCCCAGGTGTTAGCTCCACATGGAGAGGCAGCGGCAAACAGCTGGGAGCAGTAGGGAGGGGCCTCTGCTTTAGCTTCATGGGGAGAGGCAGCAGCAAAAGCAGCGGCTCTCCCTGCAGCTCCCAGCTGTTTGCCGCTGCCTCACCCTATGGCCGCAGCTCCCAGCTTGCTGGCTCCAGCAGCTGCCCTGCAGGGAGGGGGCTCCGTGGCATCATGTGACCGAGCAGTGTCAGCAAACCAAGGCAAAAATCGGGGGAGGGGGAACATGACCCCACATGTTCCCCCATGCATTGCCTGTGACTTCTGCCCAGCAGGGAGAGGGGTCTCGGGGCTTCAGTCCTGCAGGGTGCACCTGCTGGGGCTCAAGGCTTCAGCAAGAGTGGGGCAGAAACCTTGAGCTCTGGCAGACACACCCCGGCTCTCGAACGTCTGAAGATTGTCATTAAGTGTGGCCACCCCAGCTATAGAGTGTCTTTCCTCCCAGAGGATCCCAGATTGCATCATGGATCATTACCGACTGTAAGGAAAGTTTGATTTAAAAAAAAAGAAGGAAAAGAGGGTAAAATTTCACAGAAATTTTTACTACATTTGTTTTCTGTTTTGGGATCAGCTCTTCATGGCCTACGAGAAAGAATCTTTTCCCGCACCACTGAAGTGCAGCCATCTCTGGGATGGAACATAGAATGGGGCAGGCTGGATCCCTATTTCCATGTAAACAATCTGAATGAAATGGGGGAAACCACTGACCCCTTTTCCTAAGCACAAGCAGGCACAGTAGAGCCAGCATTTCCACAGTTAATGCTCTGGCATCCAGGCCACCTGCAGCAGCAACCGTATCCCCTAGGAAACCCTATCTGTAAGAAGTAAGCGTGATAAGCCTTATCCTGAGCAGGAGAAGAACCTTACGAAAGCAGTCAGCAATTGATCAATAGCCTCCCATGAGAAGTGGGGAAAGCCCCATCATTTAAAATTGACTGCCTACCTGGGTAGATGGCGCCCATCACCATCGTATCTGGGCACCTCACAGTCTTATGTGTTGATCCTCATGACACTCCTTTGAGGTAGAGAAGTGCTATAATCCCCATGTGACAGATGGAGAACTAAGGCCAAAATCCTCAAAGGTATTTAGGCTCCTAACTTCCACTGAAATCAGTAGAAGAGAGAGACTGAGGCTAGGTCTACACTACCCGCCTGAATCGGCGGGTAGAAATCAAACTCTCGGGGATCGATTTATCGCGTCCCGTCGGGACGCGACAATCGATCCCCGAATTGACGCTCTTACTCCACCAGCGGAGGTGGGAGTAAGCGCCGTCGACAGAAAGCCGCAGAAGTCGATTTTGCCGCCGTCCTCACAGCGGGGTAAGTCGGCTGCGATACGTCGAATTCAGCTACGCTATTCACGTAGCTGAATTTGCGTATCTTAAATCGACTCCCCCCTGTAGTGTAGATGTACCCTAAGTAACTTACACAAGGTCTCACAGGAATCCAGTAGGAAAGCTGGAACTTGAAGCCAGGTCTCCCAGGTCCTAGGCTAAAACCCTACTCACCAAACAATCTTTTCTATCTAGAGGGGCTAATGCTCTTGGGACTACGCAGAATGGAAGTGTCCTGCATTGACGGGGCGGTCTGGGTGACCTAATCTAGTTTCCATGATGCTATGATAACATGCAGGGCAGAGTTAGAAAGAAAGTCAAAAAGCAAAAGCCCCTCTAAAAGTCAGCATCCATGCAATTTCCAGTTAGCTTCTGTGTCCCAGACGTCTGGCAGCCAGCTAGCCAAGAAAGATTAAAACATCTGGTTCCTTTGAACACCCCTCAAGTTATCACAAGAGGAAGAGGAACTAATTTGACATAATATGTGGTGTCCAGCTCTAGCCAACTGTCAAGAAAAAGAATTTACATTACACTTCTCATAAAAAAATGTAACTTGGATGTTATACTTATCTCAACATTAAGCAAAGGCATCCTGACAAAGCATGGCACACAGAGTCTGTACAGTTCAGTCAACCAATAGCTAAAGCAATCCAATCAAAAACTGAGCAAAGCAAGTGGCATATATAGGGAAGATTGGGAGAGGAAATGTTCTCCAGATAGTCTTCAGCTGAAATGCTAACACGCCTTGGTACCCTGGCTTCTCCACATAAAATGAACATTACAAATTGAGTAACTCCAGGAGGTTTGTACAGATTACGAGACCAGAAAAGGGCTACGGAAACTTCCACCTCTAGGTCTATTTAATCTCTCGCCTGGTGCACATGACTATGGTATCTAAGCACCCTCCACAATTATGATGTGTACACACAGAAATCTCAGATAATTTGAGCCCCACAGCCCAAGGCTCCCGGGCTTGAGTCAGCTGACCCAAGCCAGCCACGGTTGTGCCGCAGGGCTTTTATTCCAGTGTAGACGTACCCAGAAAGGAACAAATTTAAAAGAAGAGTGTGCAACACAGAATATGCACACAGCCAGAGACATGCTCCTTAACTGCCCATAGCATGTTGGCACCACTAACTAACACGCTGTTTTCTACCTGGGGGTGCTCTAGAAACTCTCTCTTGGGGCAAAAAAACAGAAGCCAACAGGGGGA